GCCCCCGCACAGGCCGAACGACGGAACTAAACCAACCGGGGTGCAGACAAGGGTGCCAAAATCACCACCAAGACAAATTCTACCATATCCATAGTATAGTAAAATAGCTCCGATCCACAGTGTGACAACCTAAAAAGAGAAGACGATCCSGGATGACGATTCYCACATACAAGSACCGCCCCTCCGCTTAAAAGGCCGAACAACGGGAAACCACCAACCAGGATGCCAAAAACCCGAATGACTGGTCCCACGTGAAAGCACCGCCACGCCCATGAAATAGCCCGAACAACGGGACCAAACCAACCGGGAAACAGACAAGATCAGCAAAACAAATTCTACCATAACCATATCCATAGTCAAAAAACGGAACCATACAGTAGGCCCGCAAAACGGAATACCCCAGCAACAGGGAAAAGGTAAAGGAAAAGAAGCAGAGAATCTGTCAATTGGATTATATGTGGGATGTGTCATTTGCTTTGTTTGACTGAAAGACTTTCTTTCCCTGTCAGGTTTGGTTTCCTCCTTTTCTTTACCTCTTTGCCTTTTGGGTGCGTGCAAGTGGGTCCTTGTGACGCACGGGGATGGGGGCAGCCAGCCCTCAACTTGTCATCCACGTGGCTGGCCTTGTACCTAAGAGGCGATGAACAGGTGGGGCTTTCCTTCCTTCCTTCTTTTCCTTTTCTTGTTTTGTCTTTTTCCGCCTTTGTGATCCGATTCACAGTGTGACAATATATAATATACGGCTCAGCCTCCTGATGAGTTGGTGGAACTCCGACGAAACGGTCTGTCTTAGCCCCTGGTTTGTTGTCAGCTTCTCCCTCTGTGCCTACCGTTTACTGGGCAGCTGTGTGTGACGATACATATGTATGGACTTTCACCCTCATTGCTCAAATAGTACAGTAAGTACGTCAGTTGATCACCACCACGACGCCTGTCATCCCGACCCTACGTATACCCACCTTCATGGTGTCTATCTTCTTCACCATCTATGCCTTTTGTCTTATCCTCTTCCTCGTCTTCTTCTTTTGTACTATCCTTTTTCTTCTGTATCCTTTTTCCTTTTTTTTCAATGCATGTCATCCTTGCGCAGGGGTCATGCTAATCTTGTCTGTATCGTTCCAATCTACGTTCCAATTTTAACAGATATCCCCCAAGGACCTTCGTCTTCGTCTTCTTCTTCTTCTTCCTCTTCCTCCTCCTCCAAGCCGCAGCGAGGCGAGAAAAAAAGGGATTTTCAGCGAACCCCCCTCCCCCCCCCCCCCCCGCTCCCGCTTTTGCGTCCCTCGCTCCTTGCCCTGCCGCGGCGGCTCCTGGCGTGTCTTCAACGACGTGTTTCCCGTGCTTTTCCTTCATTCTCGTCTCCTTATCCTATCCACCATCTTCTTCTTCTTCTTCTTCTTCTTCTTCTTATCCAAATGTGTCCCTCTCTCCCGCGGTTGTCCTCTTTCCTTAGATGTACATATTATCCCATACCCACAAGTTATGAACACTTCTGTGACACCAAATGTGTTCTCCATCACTCACTCACGCTCTTATCTTTTTCGCTTAATACTACAGTCTTC